TTTTTTTTTTTTTTTTTTTTTTTTTTTTTTTTTTTTTTTTTTTTTTTTTTTTTTTTTTTTTTTTTTTTTTTGCATAACTATTAATTATATTTATCTTTATCATTACTCTTGAGTAAATTCAAATTTGCATCAATTTTTATATAAAAATCCATTTTTGAAAAAAATTTTATGAGATTTAAAACTTGCAAAACAAAATAAAAATCGCGTATTATAAAATTCAAAGATTAAAAAAAAAAATTGGTAAAAATTTTTTTAAAAGCTAATAAAAAATAAATGTCAAAGTATTAAGAAAAACATTGTTATTAATCCTTAGTATTAAAAATACAAATATTTTATTTTATATTATTTATATCAAAAAAAATTTTATAATTGAATATAATCAAATTTTAACAAGTTGATATATTATTTGTATTAAAGTGATCACATGATATTTATTTATAAAAAATTTGATAGCATATTAAAAATGAATCAAAATATTATTATTTGATGCATTAAGAATTTTAAATTTAAAAAAGAACACTTAATTCCAGTTACTTGACTTTTATAAATTAACATCCAAGTTTATTATTATTATTATTTTTTTTTTTGAAAATTTTTCATATCCTTGATACCAGGATTATTTAATCATTTTGAATTTATGCTCTGTTTTATCAACACAAATCAATCTTATACTATATACTGTGCAATATATGAAGTATAGATATGATCAATTTGTCTAATTCATTTGTCTGTAACCTATACTTTAAAATATACAATCAAATTCAAATCCGATAATAAAGTAACATGAAAATTCATGAATAATAAATAATATATAGTTTGAATTGTAAAATAAGAAAATGAAAATATTAACATTAAAAGAAATCGAAGGTTTTTTTTATTGAAAACATTTTTGTGCAGGGAATAAATTATAAAAAAAAATGTTGTCACTTGCTCTATGTTTCTATCCAGAAGTTGCACATGATAAAAATTCTTTCAATTGAAATATTAAGATTAAGATTATTTACCTTTATCACTTGTAGAAAAAAAATATTACATCGCAGGAGATTTCACATACACATTAATTTTCCACATGCTACGATGTTAATTGTTCACGCGACATCTCTTCCATGACGCATTACAATCAACCACGATCATGCTTGGTGCATGATGTTAAGATTCAAAAGCCAATGTTTTATTTGATTTTCATTGCGTTCAATTCTTCTTCAAATAACAGTCTTCTTGAAGACGACAAAGGCTTGGCTGTTGATGAAGTGGAAGTTGCGGTGTGCGGTGTTGGTCTTGGCGGCGATGACTCAGTAGTCGTTGTTGAACCAGTGGACCCTCCGGATGGATCGTCATCTTTGAGGAACAAATTAATCTTCTCATCGGCTAATTCGAGGTGATTTGTTTGTTCACAAACCTCCAACGCACTTAGGCGTAGTATGTATTCAAGAAGGCTAAGGGTTTTCAAATTAGATTGATACACCTCAACGTTACCGCCGTCTAGCTCGTTAACACCATCCACGCTTAAATCAGCATCCGGAACTTCTATAACATCTGTTGGTTCACGAGTACCTGGAATATCATTAGCGCTTTCAACGTCGGCTTCTATATTTATCACGGGATCCCGATGTTCATCAGATATTTCAAGTTCATCGGTTTTGTTTATTTCATCGTCATCGTCGTCGCTTAAGGTTGCGTCCGAATCTTCGTCATCGCTGATTGGCAAAGGAACGTTGCTTGGGATGAGGGATGTTGGAGCAGAAGTATTTCTCGGTGAGGGAGTGCCAGGCAAAGACGAAACTGTTCTTGGAATAGTTCTTGATAACGGTGTTTCTGGCAAAGGAATGCTCTTTGGTGATGGTGTGTCTGGTAGAGGGGGCTTCCTCGGCGAGGGTGTTCTAACATTTTCACGGGGAGGGGTCCCAGTCACCCTCCCGCCATCATCGATCTCTTCGTCACTGCTAACAATTTCCTCTTCATCATAGTCTTCTTCTTCATCCGCAGCAAAGGTTTCTGCTTCCTGAAAGATTTCCAGGGCGAACAAATCCACGTCCGTGTGTTCTTTTGCATCCTTTAAATGTTCATCATGGGCAGCCGCCATTTGAGGCACGTACAACGGATTCGCATCTAGATCCACTCTATCCAAACTTCTTTCTTTCAGCAAATGAGCTTTGGAAAGCCCTTTTATGACTTTGAGAACGAGTACCGGTGTCTTCGACTCTTCGATGTTCAACAGAGATCCCGATGAGGTATAGTATAAGCGCGATATCTCACCCACCGGAATTCGACGAATCTTTCCCGGGATACTTTGATTTGATTTGTCAAGCTTAGCTCTAATCTCTTTCAGTCTTGCTGGATCACCGGTATCAAATTCCTCGTGATATCTTCCGTCATTAAGGTCTTCTACAAGCACCAACTCATAAGCAAACTCCTTGGAAGCCTCACGAACTCGATGTATAAAAGCATCACACTTTGTAAACTCCTCCTTCCACGTAAAATCGACGACCGATTTGGGTCGTACCGAAGCGGTAAACATATAATATAGTTTCAATTTGTACACCGGTCCCACGCGCATTTGTTTGGCAACATTTCCCGTAAACTTCCTATTTGCCTCATACAATGCATTAGAGGCTTGTAGTAGGCGTGAGGGACTCACGGAATTGGGCAAACTCCAACCGAGATTCGCTCCGCTCGTGGTCATCACGAGATTAAGATAGGGGACGAACCTTTCGATCTTCAGTATCAAATCCTGCATTTCTTTTATGATTTTAGAATGGTCCAGAGGACGCTTTTTTTTCGAAGTTTTAATATTTGATTCTTCAGCATCCAGAGAGCTTCTAGAAATCATACGTGCGAACGATTCGATCTCCTTTCGTAACATCGTTGTGTGAGCAACCGTCGGTTCCAATGTCGTGTTTCCACGTGCCGATATTATTTCAATTAAGTCTATTGCTGGTTGAACCATTTGTATACTAAGTTCCAAACTCTAAATTAAAAGGTATATATCAGTTGCGCCTTAACTTGAAAAACAGGCGAGGTTTGAATGCAACAAATAACCTCTTTAACTCGCTCAATCTCGGAGACATCGATGTGAGGAGCGTTGGTGGTGTCTTGTTTAATATAGTTTGTGACTTGTTTCTTAATGTTAACCGGGATCGATTAGAATTGTTAAAGACAGCGTTCATTGTTTCGAGAGGGGAAAAGAATAATCACCATAGCGTAATTTGTACTATACGCAAAAGCCGCCTTACCGACCTGCGTGCGTGGGTTATAGACGAAATTTAATTTGCCATGCAAGCTACTCGAATTCGCTAATTCATGCAGGTATTTACCAGAGTCGCAGTATGAAGCGCCAACTTTGTGAAGATTTCGTCCATATTTAATTTTAGAGCAAGAGGAAGAGGAGATTTGAATATTTGCAGTATGTTATTATTGGTACTCCCTGATGTCACGACGCGTAAATGATCACATGATAAAACAGAAATTGACTTATTGTCCAATAACAGCGACCGATTTATTTAAGAACACGGGACAAAAAAAAAAGTCAAGGTATTAAGAGCAACTTTCCGGAAGTTTTCCTTCCTTCCAAGTCTTCGTGAGCTTGTTTCACTTCGCTCAATTTGTATCGTTTCCAAATTTTTATGTTCAACTTGCCGTTCAGAAGTAACTCGAATAATTCACTCGTATACGTTTGGAACTCCTCCTTGGTAACGACGTAATTAAACAAAGTAGGCCTCAATAGTCTTATGTTCTTCTTTGCGAGTGTGGTGACGTCAAACGGCGGAACTTTACCGCTAGAATTTCCGAATGTAACAAAGGTACCGAGTCGACGCACACACTCTAGGGAAATTTCAAATGTACTTTTTCCGACACCATCGTAGACCGCATGCACGCCCTCTTTATTCGTGATCTGCATGACTTCCTTAACGACATCTTGGGTGGTGTAGTTAATTATGTATTCGGCACCCGCCGACTTTGCCAATTTGGCCTTCTCGGAAGTAGAGACGGTGCCGATTGCATGAGCGCCAATGTTTTTCACGAGTTGAGTGAGAAGGAGGCCAACGCCACCTGCGGCAGCATGAATAAGGATCCAATCGTCTTTCTTAACGGGATAGGCTTGAGTAACCAAGGTGTGCGCGGTCAAACCCTTTGTCGAGATGTTGTTGAGAGAAAATTGATCAGGGAAATTCTCGAATTTTTAGTATTTGACGTAATGAATTCGCGACGATCAATACTTGGATAAGGGAAGCGGCAGCCACTTCCGAGTCGACACCTTCTGGTATTTTGGCGACGTGCTTCGAGGGAGAATTCGAGTATTCCGCATAACTATTTCCAAAGTAGACAACGCGGTCACCAGGAACAACATCTTTTACATTTTCCCCGACCGATTCGACGACGCCAGCGCCTTCGCGCCCAATTATTGCCGGAAGTGGGATTTCATACAAACCCGTTCTATCCAAAGTCTTGTCACCCTCAAAGTCTTTTGCATCAAAAATTACTCGATGATTTAAACGAACCTGTGATATACATCGATGAAATTGACACCGATGAAATCATTCTTCACCAGCACATCATCCGGCCCAGTAATCTCGGGACGCGGAACCGTATCATATTTTAAAACTTTTGAACCTCCTGTGCTTGAAATTCGAATTGCTCTCATGGTTGACGCCATTCTCGCTAATGAAACTGTGAACACGCGATTTAAAGGGATAAAAGTGTCTAAGGAAAAATGTGATGTGTCAATTAACAACCATTTATTTGCAAGGAAACTTACAAGAATAATTGATGTGGGAAAATAACTTGGAAAGAAAATTGTGACGAATTCCTAGTTTTACTGTCATGCTGTATATTGATTGTTGTATTCAATCATGTATTTATAATCAAATGTAAGTTTGATATACAGCACGGTAGTTTGATTACCAGATGTGTATTGTTTGTGTTACTATCAATATTTATTGCGATAATATACTGTACATTGTACACGCGTGAATGCATTATTAGAATAATTAGTAAGCAAACAAGGCCCTAATCACGCCTTTTCGCACGTATGGCGAACTAGGGAACGACTGGGCGCAATCATACAAACGTCAATTTTTAAACGAGGCTTGAATTATTAGTAGGAGTGTGTATCGGAACTTCAATGCTATCCTTCGCATCCCAATACTTTCTAGACTTCTCCATGACTTCAAAATACCTATACGTATTGTGATTCAAAATCGGAGTGGGAATGAGCCGATCGGTCGGTAAAACACCATCGGAACTCTGATCACTCCGACGGCGAAAAGACTTTGCCGTGCGTTCCAAAGATGTTTGATCACCGAATTCCGAGAGCCCAAAGAATGGCCACAGCCCGGGTGAATCAAAATCTTGGTTTCGAAAAACGAGTGCTGTTGGATCGGGTCCATAGAGGATTCTCTCCGACGAAGGCTTGCTACCATCCTGATAGAATCTCACATCATCACCAATTCCTACATAATTGAAGAGATCATATTTGCTGAGGTAATGACCTAAACTTGCGACATGAAATCCAAGAAAAGCCCTGAAATTTAAGGATCGATAGATTTGCAGTGAGAAAGTGGGCTACCAATTACTGACAGTTTTTTTTTTCTTTTATAATTATGATTTTTTCACCTTGGAACCAGATCGTTGTCGTCTATAACCCTCCACAAATTCTTGTTTGTATTTTTCGGTTGATTTTCCAAATGTCGATAGCCGGCCGCAAAATCAGAGTCACCAACGAAGGGACAACCAAATACAATTGCATCACGATGGTTGACGTGTTCACCGACCGATTCAGGTGCAGCAAAGATCCTGGTATGCATCAGGGTGGCCAACGCTGCACCAAGACTGTGACCGGTGACCCAAAGATTAACCGGTTTTTTTGATCTGCTGTGAATTTCTATCGGAAAAGTTTAAATTAATTTAAAAACAATGTCTAATTTCCACGTGGCACATAATGCAACGTACCCGCAGCTTTCATGCTTATGGCGTTGGACAATCTTGCAGCCGGGCATTGTTTTTTTAATCTTGAATAGTCGTAAGAATTGTCGGGAAAAAGTGAAGTGTAGAATCCCTCGTGAACTTCACCAAACAGGAAAGATCGCGCATCCTTTATTTTTCGATGACAAACAACATTGTTATTCTCAATGGAAACTCCAAGAGGTTCGTTTTTAAGTTTGACTCGGTACCATTCGTTCCAGGTTCGCGTCCGTCAACCATTCCGTAAAGCTTAATGTATCGGTCCCCTTAAAAGCCAAGACGATAAAGTTGTGATTGTCGCTCCTGCAAAAATGGTAATAATAATAAGTAAGTAGATGATCGGAGAAGTGTGATTCAAATGCAACGACCGACCAAAAAATTCCTCCATATGGTCCACCCACGCTATTACATTCAGTCAAAGGTAAAAATCTGAGGCCGAGGTATGCGGCCTGTTTGTGAATTGAGTCTTCACTTCTTGTAAGCAGATCAATGATCGGTTGAACATCCGACCTAGAAAAATCTTTAAGCTGGACAACCTTCTTGTAAGCTTCATCGACCAAATCTTGATTGCGACTAATGACTAGACAACATAACCATAGTAAAAATTCCGCCCTGTCAAGATTGAAATTTGGTCCTTGAATGTTCCCTTGATCATCTAGTGAATTCATGCCTTTCCGTAGATTTTCCGCTATTTGTTAAAGGATTATGTCATAAATGATCGGGGAAATGGATGCACATTCTCCGACGTACGTGATTCCACCCTTCTACTCACCAACAGGATAGTAGCTCAACGATTTCCACAGGTCAATTGTGTCAACCTGGGTGGCTTTCGAGAGTGACCGAATCCAAACGGCAATTCTCAAGATGATCTCAAAGAGGAATAAAATGAATGCAAAAACCGGGAAGAGCACAAATATGAGAAGAAAATTCAAGGGATTCACGAGAGGAAAGGTCCAGTTAAAGAATAAGGTGAGGAACAAATAGGTGACAATTTTTTTCAGGTAGATGAGGTAACTTAGAGGTTGATTTATCAAAGAAACTCCCTTTATCGACGCCGGAATTCTAGATTTTACTTGCGCCATATCTATGATATGATAAAACCTGTAGGGAATGCTGGTTTCAGAATCATCCGGCACCACATCAGCCAAATTTTCTCGGGTAATGATATCATTATCAGCTTTCGAAATCAAGTCATCGGTCTCGATTGTTAGCGCTAATTGAGACATCGCTTTGACTGCGCGTATAATAATGGGTGGGAAATTTGTCATATACTGTACATGAGCGGCGGTACGTTTGGATAGGTTTAAACGATTTATTTGATTCCATTGATTTGATCCTAATGAATGGAATAAATGCATTGGGAAGGTAGGCTCTTTTTTCTATTAAGACTCGGGTACTCCATCGAAACAGGAGCTTCTGCGTAAACAAATAAAAGAATTCTAGACCTCGGGTAAATGTAAATTGACTTTTTTGGAGAAAAATTGATTTTTCGGAGGTTAATTTTGATTCTGAGGTAACCTGAATAAGGATAGTGTTGGTGATACTCCCTTATTTCGTTGTCCATACGACGGCCCATTACGAAGACTTTCGTCATTTTTGAAAGACAATACTGCCCGAGGCTGTACATTGTTTAACTGCAATGAAGTTTCGTCTTGATAGTAAAGAGTCGTTTCGAAACACTGCATTTTCTTTGCTTGGGTACACGAGATACACGCTAGCTCGCAAAAGAAAATCACCCTACCAAAATTCATGAATAATTCTTTTGCCCACTCAAATGTTGCACCGTATACAAACAAACACGAATTGATTTTAGTATCAAGTAAGCAGAAAAAAGGACTTTCTAGGAAATACAATAGTTACAAATTTGTCATTAAAGTGATGTTCATAATTGCAGCAAAGGTTGATTTCTATTGCACAAGCAAATAAAAAATTCATTTAAATAAATATACCCCCCCCCCCTTAGGGGGATGCGAAAAAATTTTAAAGGATATAGCTACGGAGGGTGCGCATTTAAAGAGACGCTTTTAAAGGAGCTTGAGATCGAGTTCGACCGTGTATTCAAGGAGGTAAAATATAATGAGTGACTATCTTTCTTTACCTTATAGAGAGAAAATTCTATCATTATCATTAATTTAAATCATCTAACTTAATTTAATAGGTCAAGTTCAATTATCTACTATTAATTTACTTTTAATATACAGTAGATATCAAATATCAAAAGTTTTAATATCAAAAATTTATATATTATTAAAAAGTTAAAATTTTTTATCTTTATATGACTTACAGCATATCAAATCAATATGTACTGTACAGTAAGAAGTATTCTTATCGAGATTTGAATTGCATTTTTTTTTGTGCCGATCCTACCTATATCTATAGATTTACAAAGAGGTCGGTGCAGTATGCGGAGATGATAACGAGAATATCAAGTAAATCAAGTAAACTTGATATAGATATAGCGGAGGAAACGACTAAAATCTTGATATAAAGGAACGAATTTCACCTTATGATAAAAGTTGACTCTAGGTTAAAGTGATCTACCAAATAAATAATAGTAATAATAATACCATATAAATAAATTTATTTTTTTTATTCTAACGGCTTCTGATCATCACGTGACACGCCGCTTGTTCCGGAGCGTCCAAGATATTATTAAGCAAGGCACTTACTTACTTTCCCTATCCTATAAGCGCGTTTATAAATTTTCACATTTATTATAAAAAAAAATAACGCCTGATTTAGGACAAAATTAGTATGACAATACTAGGCCATTACGAAATACCGTGCCATAAGGGCACAGTAATTGCTTAAAGATCATAATAAGGAAAATGCAATTCCTAAATGTGGATTCGACTCTGCTCTTAAACCATGATCTCCAAGTCATCTGTTGACCACGAGCAGGTGAATGACTGATTAATGGCTTGAACTCTTCAATATGTTTTTAGGACAATAAACTCTTCTCTTATTGTATGCCATAATAACCTTCCGTCCGGAATACAGAATAAAGCTTTCTGCAAATTCGTTATCTAAACCGTAACTTCCGATTTTCTCATCGGGCACAATACTAAATTTTTTAATTGGCTAAGACATCACGTTACCAGAAATATTACATGCATTATGTCATTTTCCTGTTCACCTCACGCCACTAAATAGGCGTAACCATGTAACCTTGCTGAGATTTAAAAAAGATCTCGTGTGCTAAGCAAATAATTATTTATAAAACCCACCACTTCCTTCAAATCAAAATAATCGATAAATTATGGAGCCCGTAAATATCACGATTACCGAAGAACCCATTAAATTCACGATTACTGAAGATGCCACTGACGAATTTGGTGAAATTCCTTCTACTAATGAAAGAAAACGAAGATACACATTTCCCAGCTATCGAATGTCATATGATAGAAACGATTACAACGAACAAATGTTTCGTCGCGCATATCCATCCGTTAATGCCGAAGATGGTATCTTTGGTCAACCTTACACTGGTCTATCTAGTCCAAATTTGCCGCCCGTGAAATTGGATATAAACGACGGTGAAAAGTCATCACTGTTTCTGGGTATAAGCCATTTCGAGTTTAACCGCAATAAAGATACACGTTCTCGTTCCGTTAATACCAAAATCAAGGCAACCTCCACACCTCAAGACACAACGAGCATTACCGATGACTTTTTCAAGCGACAGTCTATGTAGAAGCATGATAAACGAAGTTTCCTTGACGTTACGTTTATTATCTGATTTTGTAGTTTTTATGCAAATGAACTTTAATTCTGTGAACAAAACTAGTAAATTTGTAAGATTTGTAAGTAGTGCTAGCAAAAAAAAACACAAAAACAATGCTAATTAAAAAATATAATAATTATAATTGTCGTGATTCTTGTAGTTAAAGAATGATGCACTGTATATACGTAGATTTTTTTTTTTCTTGTCGTTAATAAATTTTTACCCTCACTTTTAATTATTAACTATATACATATTGCTTTCAATACTTTAAAAATATTGAAATTTTAAAAATGCCTAATTATTAGAAGAAAAAATTTTTTTGAAAATTTATCATGAAATAAATATAAGTAGAAAATACTGTATATGTATGTATAATAGTTGGGTAGTATTGTTTTTAATTATAAAGATTTTTAAAAAATTAGATTATATTTTAAATCGCATACTATTAATTAAAAAGAAAATCTATTTTAAAAATTAAAATAAATATCTATTTTATAATTTAATAAATTATTATGGAATATTCTTTACAAGAAATAACAATTAATTAATTAAATTACTATCAAAAAATGGGTACCGTTGTTAAATCCAGAGTTAAAATTACAAAATCTTAAATACAGAAACAGACAGATGAATATTTTTTATCAATCGCATTGCTATGCCCCAACCAATCAATTAATTATCAATGATTTAATGTAAATAATAATTAAATATAATTTGTAAAATATAGAATAACAATTAATTACAAATATTTTCACTTTCTCTAAAATAAGAAAAAAAATTTTTTATGAAACAGCATTTTATTAAACTCACTCAAATACTATATTGTATCAGCAATGGTAAATATTAAATTGATTCATCCAACTATAAGAAAATCAGATCTATATAAGCAAGTAAAATGTATTGTATATAGTCAACAAGATAAAATTATAAAATACTTGATAGAATGTTCAGCCTATAAGGACCAACTACAAGAGACATAAAATAAAGGAGTAGATGAAATCATTAAAAACTTCAAAGAGTTATAATGAAAAAGAAAGAGAGAGACCGAAGAAAAAAATTCCAGATTAATTATCAACAATCAAGAAGAAATAGGAGAGTTTAATAAGTGAATCTCTAAAATAGTGAAACAGACTTCTAAAATTAGCCAAAATATCTTAAGTTTTTGCACTAATCTTATAAAAAATAATCTCATTCTAAAAATAGTAGACCTAAAATGTCAAGATAAATGTATAGAAAAAAATAACAAGAAAGTAAATAATAAAGATGTAAAAAAATAGTCTGCAATAATGTCCAAAAGAAAGTTTGAAACAAAAGATGCAAAAAGATAATTGAATAGGAACAAATATAAAGAATTAATAGAGAGAACAAAATAAAAAGATTTCCATATTATCCAGGTCAAAAAACTATATTTCCAAAGAGAAAAGAACCACTACTTGAAAAAGGAAACCTTGAAGAAGAAAGTCTCTAAGAAATTCTAAAAAAGAAGAGTAAAGTATAGAATAAAATAGTTGGGTTTTAAGCTCTGTCAAACCCTCACAAAGTAATTTGTAGTAGTAATCTACAAACAATGAAGTTAATAATTAAAAAAATCTTTACTTGAACTGCTAATGAAGTAATAAATCATTTCTAAAATTAAACTTAAAGTTTTAATAATTCTTAAAATAAAGACAAGTAAGTTAGATAGAGATTTAGTTTTAGCAATGCATTTTTCAATATAAAGTATATACTGTATATATTTAATAAAACACATACATTATGAAAAGTTGAAAACCAAAATATAAAAATTATTTATAACTTTATAAATAATAAATAAAATTAAATAAAATTTTAAATATATGTTCTTGAATACTTATAAAATAAAATT